TGACAATAACATGTTAAAACTTATGAGATGATAGTGATTGGCTTTACATCTGCTCTATGATTTGGACTTCGGTCAGCACTTGATCACCATCTTGTGGCTAACAGAAGGAACAGCAACCCGCCAGCTCTGGGGATAGTAGCAGCGGACCTGTTTTTTATTAGCACTTTGTTGCCATCTTGTGGCCATTATGAAGTACTGCTGCGGACATCAGGTTATCGCTGTAGCTATGATTCACACAGGATCAATACATACGGAGGTTTGATTGCTTGTTAGTGTTCAAAGGATTAGAAATTTCAGTGCAAATATAGGTGAAAATAACATATTCCTCATGAAACCTTAAATTTTTTTCTAAATAACTAGTGACTGGTAATTCTGTTCAGTCCGTTCAGTATTCTATGGGCTAGACATGTGCGATTCGTTTCACTTCACATCAAAATTCAGGGGAATTTTCCAAAATTTGGACATTCAGACTCATCCGAATTTCCAAATCCCAATGCATCCGCATGTGTCCGAATCCGAATTTCCGTTTCTGAACTTCAGATCCCATCCCAATTTTGTTCATAAACTAAACTGAATGGGACATGTGACTTTTCTGGCCAATCAGATATATTTTTCGGTTTAATGCATCCAAATTGTTCTGCACTAGGGATGTACCGATACTAGTATCGGTATCGGTGCTGATGCTCAGTATTTGGGCCCAAATGCTCTGATGCCTAGCCCGATACTTCTGGTACCAGGAAGCCGGGCAGCGTGTCATCACACGCTGCCCGGCTTAATCAGGAAGCCGGACGTTGCGTCGTTACACAGCGCCTGGCTTCCTGATTGGCCAGAAAGCCAACTCCAAGCATGGGGGCGGCTTCTCTGCTAATCGGGAAGCCTGGTGGTGAGTCTTTAAACGCCGCCTGGCTTCCTGAATAGGACCTCCGGTACTCGGTATTCGGTAACGGCGGGTACCGAAAAAAATATCAGTACTCGTACTGCCATTCGGGTCTAGGAGATTCAGCTTTAGTCTTAATATCTGTATATGGTTTTCTGTGGTAGTCGCAACGAATATTCTTAAACTCATCCGAAACTAACGAAAATTTTGTCCGAATCCGAAACCCAAACCAAATTTTTGCACAGCTTCCGTGTCTACTATGCGCTATCAACAGGGCACATGGCACTGGAAGAGATATTTTATTATTTTCTTCTGTTTTATTTTACATTTCAATCTAAACAGCTTTATATTATTTTTAATGTAATAATAAATGAATAAGTGCTATCTCACGCGGGGCTTCCAAACCAAACACCCAGGGGTATCATCCATATAGAGCATGCAGGAAAAGAAATGCTCCGAATCCCTGGTCCGGGATTTATGATAAGTGACACACAATACAGGAAGCAAGATACTACATTAAGGGCCCGTTCACACCACATCCAGATCATCTCCAGACCAAACCAGATTGTTTCCGGGCTCAAAATGCATCCTAATGTATCCCTGTGCTATTTCAGGCCTCTGTTCACACCAGCGCAGTCCGTTCCAGACCAGAAAAATACTACATGTCTCATTTTGTCTGCTCTGGAATGCACTGGAACTGCGGGCAGGTTCACACCATTTTCCGGAGCAGATGTGGTCCGGAAAATGTTGTGAACCTGGAAAACGGTGTGACCCTGGAAAACATTGTGACCCTGGAAAACGGTGTGACCCTGGAAAACATTGTGACCCTGGAAAACGGTGTGACCCTGGAAAACCCCTGGAAAACGGTGTGACCCTGGAAAACGGTGTGAGCCTGGAAAACGGTGCGACCCTTGAAAACATTGTGACCCTGGAAAACGGTGTGTATCTGCCCTAAGAGGACATCTGTAGGAGACGAGGAAGAGAGAGTGAAAGTATTCACCTCTAATGTATCAAGTTAAAGGAAATGTAGAATTATTGTAACAGTTGAATTTGTTATGTTGGTCCAGCTTGGCACAATGTAAGTATATATAAATGATCCGTGGCAGGTCCATGGGGGACCGGGTAACACACTGTAGCAGCTGGAATCACTACAATGCTTTACAACAGTCCGCCGGGTTCAGCTACATTCACTGAGTGACTTACCCCCTCTGCTCTGTAAACACAGGGGGTCACTCGCTCGGCACAGCAGCCATTCAGCAAATGCCCGTTCCTTTTATGAATGAATACATGGCATTCCCAGAATGGACAATGGGCGGTGAAGTCATGGCACCAATCCTCATCCAATCACGTTGGTGCCATGATGTCACCGCTCCTCGTGCAAACAGAGAATGCCTCATATTCTTTCACAAAAATATTAGATGTTAGCTGAATGGTCGCTGTGCCGAGCGAGTGACCCCCCTCCCCTGTGTTTGCAGGTGGAAGTCGCTCAGCACAGCGGATGTAGCTGGACTCAGAAGATTGAAGCATTGCAGTAGCTCCGGGCCCAGTGTTTTACACGATCCCCACGATATGTCGTTTCCCGAATACAGGCACGTAGCCATGTGAGGTCAATGACGTCACCGCATCCCGCCTCTTATGCCAAGCTGTGGGTGGGCAGTTCCCCTCCCGCAGCTGATTGGGCTGCACATACATAGCTCCCTCGGGGTTCTGAGGTGCTGAGGTTCAACAAATCCTGCTTGAAATTCAGCAAACCTAAACTTAGTGGTGAATACATTAAACTCTATGGATGGGGTAAGAAGGGGGGTGAATTCTGTGATGAAATTCTGGACGTGCGTATTTGGTAGTAAGATTTTACAATTAGCGGGATTTGCATACCGCAGTTTTAGCCGTGACACGTGCTTTTCCTTTAAGTGATAACAGACCTACTGTGGCAGATAGAAACTGGCCAGCTGTATGCTAAGCCTGTCCCTGTTCTTGTTGTCACTGGCCAGCGGTTTGCTAAGCCTGTCCCTGTTCTTGTTGTCACTGACCAGCAGTTTGCTAAGCCTGTCCCTGTTCTAATCAGAGATAACAGGCCCAACTGAAGTGTGCCTAACTTTTGTTTTATCTATGAGGATAGGGGGAAGCGGTAAACGTGAGCGATATAATGTGAGGGGGGTTTAGGTGTACACTGTTCTTGTACTTACTCTCTTTTTTACTTTGATGCAGTAACAGTATACAAACAATGCAAAAAAAACCCACCAAAATACCAACCTTTAAACAAAAGTCCTGGCTCAATCCTTGGCTCTATAATTACCTGGTCCCGCCCTCTGCTGTGTACTTACCTGGCTTAGCACTCTGCTGTGTACTTACCTGGCTTAGCACTCTGCTGTGTATTTACCTGGCTTAGCACTCTGCTGTGTACTTACCTGGCTTAGCACTCTGTTGTGTACTTACCAGGTTCCACACTATGCTGTGTACTCAGCTGACTCTACCCTCTGCCATGTACTTACCTGACTCCACCCTCTGCCATGTACTTACCTGACTCTACCCTCTGACATGTACTTACCCGACTCTACCCTCTGCTGTGTACTTACCTGACTCTACCCTCTGCCCTGTACTTACCTGACTCTACCCTCTGCCGTGTACTTACCTGACTCTACCCTCTGCTGTGTACTTACCTGACTCTGCCCTGTACTTACCTGACTCTACCCTCTGCCATGTACTTACCCGACTCTACCCTCTGCCCTGTACTTACCTGACTCTACCCTCTGCCATGTACTTACCCGACTCTACCCTCTGCCCTGTACTTACCTGACTCTACCCTCTGCCATGTACTTACCAGGTTCCACACTATGCTGTGTACTCAGCTGACTCTACCCTCTGCCATGTACTTACCTGACTACCCACTGCCATGTACTTACCTGACTCTACCCTCTGCCATGTACTTACCTGGCTCTACCCTCTGCCCTGTACTTACCTGACTCTACCCTTTGCCCTGTACTTACCTGACTCTACCCTCTGCCCTTTACTTACCTGACTCTACCCTATGCCATGTACTTACCTGGCTCTACCCTATGCCCTGTACTTACCTGGCTCTACCCTCTGCCCTGTACTTACCTGACTCTACCCTCTGCCCTGTACTTACCTGACTCTACCCTATGCCATGTACTTACCTGGCACTGCGTTCTGCATATTACTCCCTGCGCACACAGCTGTGTGGTCACGTGGGGAGCGCTATATCAGTATGTACACAATGTTTATTTGTCTAATGATATTTACTTTGATTCCGACTTTTCAAGTAGAGTTTCAATGGAAGTCACAGTGCCGGGCGTCACCTCTGCAATCACTTCACTGTCATTAGAACTTCAATGACTGTGTGTGTTATTATCAGTGCCGGGTTATAAAACCTGACGCGTGGTCGGCGCGGTGCGATCGCTGGCGGCGTATTCCCATTATCAATACACAATGGACACGATGCTGTGGTTGGTTATTGGATTTTGTAGAGTACATTGTATTATTCATTAATGGGCGGGAACATTACCAGCAGCATCGTCCAATCATCTTCATCTCACTCCGGCTGCAGATTAAATATTTAACAGTAAAATGAATTATACAAAGTTACCCATAATTCCCGTACATATGAGGACTGTGGTGTCCCTGTGTAATGGTGTACCAGTGTCTGTACTGTGTGTATACGGGTCACAATGTAGCGGTGTCTGTACTGTGTGTATACGGGTCACAATGTAGCGGTGTCTGTACTGTGTGTATACGGGTCACAATGTAGCGGTGTCTGTACTGTGTGTATACGGGTCACAATGTAGCGGTGTCTGTACTGTGTGTATACGGGTCACAATGTAGCGGTGTCTGTACTGTGTGTATACGGGTCACAATGTAGCGATGTCTGTACTGTGTGTATACGGGTCACAATGTAGCGGTGTCTGTACTGCGTGTATACGGGTCACAATGTAGCGGTGTCTGTACTGTGTGTATACGGTTCACAATGTAGCGGTGTCTGTACTGTGTGTATACGGGTCACAATGTAGCGGTCTCTGTCCTCCGCAGGTTAAGGTGGAGAGCTGTGTCTGTCCTCCCCCCTCCCATCCGGCTCTGGGCGTTGCTCTGTGCTCTGGGATGGGTGTACATGGGAGGGGTGCGGAGTGGGTGAGATCAGCCGTGCAGTTTCAGGATGGAGGAGCACTGATATGTCTGCTCGGTGCAGGAACAGCAGAGGGGACTACAGGTGACAATCCAGGTGCGTGGGGGGGTCTGTGCGCCTGGTACGGGGTCACCGGTGCAGGGCTAGCGAGGGGTGAGATGGGCGCAGCACTGCAGACTCATCGCTTGTCCCTCCACGTGACGGAATGTCTGTGCTTTGGGCACTGTGTGTGATCTGAATAGCAATTGCAGTAAATGGCGCAGTCTCCGCAGTCTCCATCACTGCACGCTGAGCTTTAAGGGGACTTCTTACAAGCAATACACCTGTGTGATTAGGCTCTGGTGGAAGCAGTCCCCCAATGCATGTGTTGCTGGCTTGCTCTTAAGGCAGCCAAGTCAGAGTCACTACACTAGTAGTATGGGCTGGCCACTGTGTGCTTCCATCAGAGCCCGAGCACACAGGTGTCTAGCGTTCACCGACCGTTCCATAGGGACAGTGACAACTACTATAGACTACTGGATGGCACTTGGTTTGCTAAAGTGCAGTTTATCCCCTTTTTCACACTAAATACTTCTCCGTGCTGCTGATCTCCTTCGGTCACTTCCTGTCTACATGCACTCCGGCGATGGCTGCTTGGCATATCTCAGGGCAGGTTTCCTGATGGTGACCACGTCTGTGTAATGATTGTGTGTAGAAACAGCCACTTGTCTCGCCATTGTAAGCTCACGTGACAGGGTGACTACTCCATAATTGGTAGACTTGGGCTGAGTGTTGTCACCCTATAACGGGAAGTTCTCTGGTGACAACAGTGGACCATGCCTGAGCCATGTGTGTTTTTATATGGTCACTTGTAGCCACCATAAGCAGTTGGGGGTGACAACACGGGACCAGAGTTGGGAGGCAAGGACAAAGGGGTGTCGCACTATAACAGGAAGTGCCTGAAAAATGACATCCGTGGCAGGATCACCGCAGATTTACAAAGACTGAAAATAACCCAAAACAAATAATAACAATGGCCAGAAATAAAATACAGGCAGTAAAAATTGTAGGGTTGCATCACGATGGAGATAGGCCAGTTACCTTGGTGGTCAGTGGTGAAGTGCTCCCTTACCTTGACGGTCAGTGTGGAAGTTCTCCCCTTATGTTGGTGGTCAGTGGTGAAGTGCTCCCTTACCTTGGTGGTCAGTGGTGAAGTTCTCCCCTTACGTTGGTGGTCAGTGGTGAAGTTCTCCCCTTACGTTGGTGGTCAGTGGTGAAGTTCTCCCCTTATGTTGGTGGTCAGTGGGGAAGTTCTCCTCTTACGTTGGTGGTCAGTGGGGAAGTTCTCCCCTTACGTTGGTGGTCAGTGGGGAAGTTCTCCCCTTACCTTGGTGGTCAGTGGGGAAGTTCTCCCCTTACCTTGGTGGTCAGTGGGGAAGTTCTCCCCTTACCTTGGTGGTCAGTGGGGAAGTTCTCCCCTTACGTTGGTGGTCAGTGGGGAAGTTCTCCCCTTACCTTGGTGGTCAGTGGGGAAGTTCTCCCCTTACCTTGGTGGTCAGTGGTGAAGTTCTCCCCTTACCTTGGTGGTCAGTGGGAATAAGGACCCTATTACATTTGTAGAATGCTCCTTGCATTTGTGGTCGGTGTTACAAAGGACCCTATTACACTGGTTGGAGAAGGACCACACTTGATTTTAATTGTTGGCCACCCTGCACAATCCAGGAGGTCAATGGAGGGAAAGGCCCCCTCGTGTTGATGGTCAATAGGAAAAAGGAGCATTACTCTGGTGGTCATTGGGAAGAATGCTCCTTATATTGGTGGTCAGTGGGAAGAGGGACCCTATGACACTGGTGGGTGTTGGGAAGAATTCTGCTTACGTTGGTGGTCATTGGGAAGAAGGCCCCCATACAGATAGCTATAAAGATGATTGGTGTCGGTTCTGACATATCTGAGAGGCAGAAACTGCTCGTTGCCAAAGGACCCTCCAGCAACCTCTGAAGGAACCCTAGTGGCCCACAGAACCCTGGCTGAGAAAAGCTGCTCCGCAGGGACACTTGTGGCTTGTGCCAGCCCGGGAGAAGCCGGGAAACCAGTACACGCAGACACCATCCAGTATGTATGTGTGTTCTGGAATGAGGACAGACCGGTCTCTGCATACTTTTCCTCTGGTGTGTGTACACAGAGTAGTGATG